ATAATTAACACTAGGAGGAGCTAAATCAAGGAGGAAGTGATCAGTATAGCCCTTCATACAGGTTATTACAATATAAGGACTACTGGCATTGTTTTCGCCTTGTGTTTGTTGTATGGAAACCCCTTTCTGATACGCTTTCTATTAATATGAATTAATAGATTGACATTTTGTAGAGTTCTTTTTCTCATATTTGTTTGTAAATAGTTTGAATGTCCCTTAAGGAGCCTGGAGAACTATTCTTTAAGACTATTTAAAGGAATGACAAGAAATCAGCCTAAGAGCGTTCTGACTGTGTGGAAGAATAAAGGTGGTCATTCCAAATAGAGACTTTCAAGCTTGTTTGTACAGAATTGTTAGAATTTTCCTTATATTCCATATTTTCTTTTATGTAAGGTAGGATCAAGACTTTTTCCACAGTACTACACTTCATTACACCCGTGCTAAATTTACATATAACAAAAAGAAATTGAAAGAAAAAAGTCATTTTTCAAAATATATAATAAGATACGGTACATTTCTCTTTTTGTAATGAATGTAACCTACAAAATAATAGACTATATTTATCTTAATTATAGAGAAACACAAATGTAAAGTAGCAACAACTACAGACAATGAGAGCAGCCGACAACCACATAACAAAAATGTTAATACATGTTGTCGTAAACTCTGTCGAAAATAATACTTTATATATTATATATAACAAAAGAAAAAAAAACATGTTTCAGGCTAATTTATGTGAGGTTGTAGGCTCACGGCCATAAGCTGTATGAAGATGTTTTATGATATGATAAGGGCACAGCTTGAGCTCTGCGCCACCTACTGGCTGAGACGCGTATGAGCGCCAAGCTGATGACGTGGATCGCTCAGTTGACCACCAGAGCAGCAGGATGGCCGACCAGAGTAGGCAAATAAAACTCGCTGCAGCTAAGAAAAAGGTAAAGTATTTTACAATCAACGCAGTCACATATCGCGGAAAGTGTAGTTCCCACTTTGTGTACACAAGTCTGTGTTAACTCTGTTTTCTTGTCTTTTCGTTATGTATATTTTTACGGGGCAAGGGTGTTGTCATTACACGTCGCCCGAGTACTGCACTGTCGCTTGTCCGACATCCTCCGCTCCTCTCGCGGCTCTGTTGCGTAGGAGAGACCGATGTTTTATCGGGGCCTCTGGTGATAGCATTAACTTTCCCAGATTATGTAGACTATTTTTAGTTAGTAGAGACACGCATAGTATCCCACGCTGTTTATTTACTCGCAGATTAACTTGCACCACTTGCTTGGCCGCTTTACTTGACTTTCCATCTGACATTTAAATGTAGTTAAAGCCTAACGTGCTAACCCAGGCAAGTTAACGTTAGCAAGCTAGCTAACTAGCTGATGAATATATGGCTACGTGTGAGTCTAAGGAATGTCGCACAGCAGCCAGCCAGCTTTTTATGTTATCTGCAGGATTTAATTTCATAAGAAAATGTCTAACAAACGGTAGTTTTAAAACAAAGCACTCATTGAGCTTGTAAGCTACCCCTGCAGCACAGTTAGCTGGATGGACTGACGGGGGTGTTTTGACAGCTGACACCCCTCTTCCCTGTCCTGCTGTGTGCTTTGGCTTGGTGTCTTTTTCGGCTAGTCAGAAAGATGGCCTTATCAGATTCAAGAAGTCACTCCTCAGCATTTCTTGCTGGCCCACAAGCTTCACGAATAAGTGGCCATGGTGACATGTCATTTTGCTGCTATTTAGCTTTACTGTTAAAAAAAACAACAACCAGCAGTTCCCGTTAGACAGCTGTTAGAGCCCGCATAGAGCTTTCTGGCATGCTTTAACCGTCATATGCATATCATACGCAGGTTATCATTGTTTAGCGCAACTTATTAACTTGATCCGTCTGAAGCCGGATCTTTCTGCTAGCTGGTGCATTGTTTTGGAATAGGAGCACTGAATTCGTATTTTATTGCCTCATTCATTCAGCTTGATACGACGCTCAAGGTGTTGAGTGTAATTTGTTTGAATTAATATGTATAGTTGGGGACACTTGCAGAGTCCTGGTATTATCTGTGTAACACGTGACAAAATAAATATATATTAGTAGACATTGTTCATCTGCACACGTTTATGGGTGTCTTCTCCATTTCCTACTCAGCTGAAGGAATTTCAACAGAAGAGCTCCCCTGCTAGTGTAGGAGGAGAAAAAGGAGGTGGAGCCAAGAAGAAGAGAAAGGTGAAGGGATCCAGCCAACATGATGCACCTTCACCAGACAGAAACTCTCCAGACAATGTAAGCATAACAGTTTGCTTTATTGTTGTTGTTGTCGTCAAATGTCGTACTCTTTTTGTGCTTGATAGATGGTCATATGATGATTAGCTCTTTGAAGCTGCAGGGTGTTGTATTTGTGTGTTTGGCTGAAGAGCATATATTGCTTTTTGCCAATTATCAGATCAGGTGGCTGATTTTCCATCTAGTTGGCATTTGCTTTACTTACACCTGTCAAATACGCACACAGGGCTAGCAGAGTAGAACTATTTAGACCCCTTTGCAGCGCTGATGACAGACATGTTTACCTAAGAAGAGTGTTGCACATGAGACAGTGTTTTTTAAGCCCCTGACCACAACTTTGGCTTTTACATATTGCAATATGTAGCATAAGGTAAGAATTTCAAGAACTAATATATAATTTTATGAGAAAGTATAAAGTAGTCCTTGTTCTGCTGCACAGATGAGCAGCATTCCAGCTAGAACCTGGAGCAATCTGAGCATGATGAACTGGCTGACTACTATCACCAGCTGCAGTCCAAGTTGCTAGCCAGTTTGGCTAGATAGGCATATTCTGTTATTTGTCTCAAAACACTTACTATTTCCAATATCTTCAATACCACAATGTATATGCTGATTTTTAATAACTTATCCAAAAAAGTACTGGTGTAGCAACTTGCGTGCATATCAGTAACTCACTGTCCTCTACCCCTGTCAGTTTACACTTTATGTCATCTGCTTGTTTCAGCATTCAGGTTCATCAGATTTTTGTTATAGAACATTTAATGGGAGTAATCATAAAATTACACTGATTAAAAAAATGATAGGTTTTCAAGTCTCCTCTCCCGAGAATCCCTCTGTGAATATCAGCCAGTTCTCTACTCTATGCTGCTGCTTTAGGTTTATCCTGTGCTTTAGTAGCACTCTTTATACCTGATAAATAATAATTAATTCCTGATCTTCAAAGCGGTGACTCATTATTCAGCTGTTCATCCATCAGTTCATTTATTTCTTCTGTATATCTGAAGTTGAGCTGAGGTGGCTGCTGGGTATTCAAATTTCCTGTTTCCCTGAGATTTTCTTTTTCTGATTTTCATTACTCACTTGTTTTTCACCATATTTGTACTTGTTTGAGTAAAAAACATAATTAATGTGCTAACAAGACCATTGCTTTGATATTTGTTCTGGTGATTTTAAAAAAGTACTGGCACAAATCGTGTTCAGCAAGTAACACAATCACATTCTTTGAGCTCACTTGACGGTCTACCAAGTTTTGGATTTTTTTAAGAACATTTTTTTGGTATTTACCGGTAATGTCATTTTGATTATTAATGTGGAACACCATCTTCTGCTGTGGCCTGTTTTCAAAGCTCTCTAATCAAATTAAAAGTACCCATGAGAATATGTGTAGTGCTTTCAGACAGCAGTTGCGCATGTGGCGAGAGTCTGCTCGACGACATTTGACCTGCATTTGGATACATTCGTGAGACAGCTGTCACCCTGCTATTAGCAGAAACTCCAGTCTGCAGCATGCTTTCATACACTTCACATATACAACTGAGAGTTGCACTCGATACATCCAGTTGTTACCAGACAAAAGTTGCGTTTTCCTTTTGCTTTTCTATCCTAAAGCATGTTTCCTGTCTTGACTGCCCTCACATGCAACTTTTCCATCTCTGTTACACCCTCTCTTTTTTCACCAGCCAGTCAGCTAAATCTTAAACTTTGAATTTTTAGTGCAGTTATTGCAGTCAGACTATTTTATGCTGCTACTACTACGTTTGAAAAAAATAAATGCTGTGCTTTCCCCAAGCTGTTATTGTAATTGTTATTTAGTTTAAATTACTTTTTTCTCTTGTTAGTTGTTGTGGTTTTTAACAGAATAAAAGAGTCTGTCCAAGTCCAGTCTACATTTACTGCCCTCTTGCATACTTCTAGACCTCCTGCTTGTAGAAATGGCTTCCCTGTGCTTGTTTGTTTACCACTCTGTCACTTTCTGAATTTTTCTCTCCCTTTTCCAATCTCTTTCTCCTCCTTTTCCTGTAGTTTGACAGTTTTCTAAAAGCACTTAGTCAAAGCAATGGAATAGTCCTCCCTCATTATGGCAACTGTCAGGTGAGCTTCTGTCCCTGGCTTTTCTTTCTTTGTTTCCTCCTGATTGTTTTTAATTGTTCTCTGCACCCCTCTGTTGTTGATGTTTGGTGTTTAATATTTTACCCTTCTTCTCTATTCTTACCTTCCTTCAACTGCAACGTTTTCTTTATGTCATGTTGAGCTGGAAGCATGAAAAAGAATTGTCTATAAATTCCTGCCTGTTATTGGTTTTAAATATATATCAGTTTATCGCAGCATTATTGGTGATCTTTAAATAATATTGCATTGCTTTGAATAAATAGTTTCCAGATTCTTGCTAGTTGCACGTTTCTGATGTCAATATCCATGTGTCATCCTGGTGTGTGTGTGTCTCTCTTTATGTGGCAGATTATTGCTTGTACTGGATCAAAGCCACTGAAAACTGAAGCTTTATTTTGCCAAAACTGCATATAGCGTTAATATAGACTAGACATGCTGCAGATATTTCAGAGAGTCTACAATGGGTGGGATCAGTGGCAATGGGGCACCAGTATAGGAACTTCATTTTCAGTGGGACACCTTAATTACTGCTAGAAAGGTGTTTCTATTCATTTTTTACAGTCTAATTTCTTCTTGTCAGCTTCTGTACTCATCTAGATGTAGAAATGATAAAGTTAACAGAAAAGGTTTGGATAGAACACTAGTCTGGTGATTTTTATGCGTGTGTTGTGGTCTCTTTGCAGCTCAAACTGCTACTTCTCTGTACGTTTAAACCCGTGTGTGCATTTCTGTGTATGTGTCGCCTCAGACCTTCGCTGACGTGGAGGCCGTGAGGTCTTCACCTCAGCTGCTGGAGGAGTCAAACAGCGAGCCTGATTACATCTCACCTTTGTCTAACCCCGCTAGCGCTAACACTGCTACTAACTCTGAGTCTGTCGATCACAACACTGACCTCCAGGTGTGTCTCTCCTATGTTTCTCTTTCCTTCTCAGTCTTGAAAAAAATATTTTGTCCTGTCATTGTTGCACCACACGGCCATAAAACTGCATTGTCATTCTAAGCATCAGTGTGAACAGTTCCTTTTTCATTTGCTGCATTTGTATTAATTTATACATGTTATAATAGGAACAACAGTTTCAGCACAGGCCATTTATGTGACTTTTTTATTATTATTATTTTTTCTATTACACATATTCCTCTCTTTATCAAATGTGCTGACTGTCTCCCTTTTATCTATATTTGTCGCTTATGCTCTCTGTTTTCTGCTTTCAATTTTTGTCTCCCTGCAGGATTACTCTGATACCAACGGCAACGAGAATTCAATGGAGGAAAATAGGTGGGTTCTGTCATAGAATCGTGATTATATATCTATGTATCGGTAATTAAAGAGAAGGGTATTGAAGGGGGACTGTTCTGAACTATGACATGTTTACAGTTTGGAGACAATAGATTATTTTCAAAGGCAGGCACTTGCTGTAACATCCATGTTCTGAAAGCTTGGTATCCCACACATCATTACATAAAATATGTGTGTTTTGAACTCATGGATTATTATAATATATGTATCTTATAGAATGAATACAGCAAGCAACACTTTTTCCAGTATACCTTTTTTTATGTAGCCGTATGCTAGCTTATAAAGTGAAGTGGTTCATGTAAGCTACTGAGTGTTTGTTGATGTGTGTGTCCATGTCATCCTGCAGACCGCTGTCTTCCACAGAGAGCCTGCGACAGCTCTCGCAGCAACTGAACGGCCTGGTCTCTGAGGTACGCACACTTCTTTCATACGGAGTTCGGCTTTTAACAATAACACACCACCACTACCACCACCGATGTGGCGTTTTAATCAGGAAGCGTTGCGTCTATTCTGGGTAGGAATGCACTGAAAGCATTTTCAGTTTCGCCAGTCATTCCCAGTGGTCTGAAGCACGCTGACAGCATCAACTGGTGCACTAAAATAGTTTGATAGATCTTCTTTTAACTTTAATTTTGTTAGGTCAAACCACAAACATTGCTTTTTCTCAGGTTTCTAAGACCGTTTCCAGTGAATTCTTGTCATGTTATTACTAAAGTGCTGTTTCCCATTGTGGTGAAGTAGATGTCCTACTGTGGATGACGAATCAGTTTTTTATCTGCAGTTCATCCACTATATTAAACACGTTTAAAGTTTCTCCTATGAATGGCAACAGAAACGGTGCCACAGATTCCCTGACAATGCTTATTTACCTTAAAACATCTGATATTTTTCTGTGTGGGAAGCACATTAATGTCTGCTTCGATGTGTCTTTTAGTCATCTGCTGCATATGTGAATGGAGATGGCGCACCTCCTCTGAGTGAGCGAGAACTGGAGGTAAGAAGAAGAAACTTTTTTTTGTTGAGTTTTTGACATTCTAAAGCCTGAATTACAAGTCACTTAACTCATACAGTAGTATCCAAAAGCCATGCAAGTGGAACAAATGAGTTTCCAAGATTAATGAAGGTATTCTAATATTACCCCCCCATTGTTTATATAACTGGTAAGTCATCTTTATGGTGAGGAGTATAGTAGAAGTTCAGATATCCAGCAATATTGTTGCAGAGACTTTGTATGAAGGAGCAGGTCTTACAAGTGACACTTTAATAGGTTTGTATGAATGCTCCTCTCCTTCTCAACTCGCTCCATTTATCAGTTTAATAGCCATCACATGTTTTATTTAATTATTTGATCCACTTCTCATTATTAGTAGAACATATGCACTACTTGTCATGGTGCTATTTTTGCCTCCATGTTAATAATTCACATTTAAATTTTCTCCTCCTCCTCCCCCCATGTGTTCTTTGTTTGACTTTTGCCACTGCACTTTATTCCTCTCTTTTGTTTTCTTTTTTTTTTTTTTCCTTTTCCCTTTCCTTACCCGGATGCATGCGTGCACGTGATAGAGTCGAAACCAGGAGCTGGCAGCCGCCCTGGAATCCAGCAACCTAACAAACTCTCAGCTCACTACCAAGCTAGACCAGCTGGTAAGAAGCTGTGTGTATGCATAATCATGTGCACATCTTTGTGTGATTGCAGTAACACTCGTCTCCCTCTGCCCCTAATCACTCTTATCAGTGCATGCATTTTAATGCATTCTTCATGTCATCTTGAGTAACCATAACCTTTAAAAAGAATTATGGTTGGCATGGTTTTAGTGGTATTTATTTATTTTTTTGTTTTGTTAGCTTAACTAAAATTTCTTCAGAGAATTAACAACGGCAGCATGATTGATCCTTTCTGTGCACCTTGTGACCAGAGCAGTCATAACCTGATAGTAGATGCAGGATTGTGTGGCATTTTGAGTTTAGCAATATAACCAGAGCTCCAAGCTTTAAAACCACATGAAAGATTAACAAAACATTAATAACAGAATAGGTTTACTATTTTAGTGCTCGGTGCTATTATTGTCCTGTCTGGCATGAACATGAGGTCTGTGCCAGAATTTTGGTTATGCTTTATAGGCTAACACTGTGTAGCACTGCTGTGATGATTAAAAGTGTGTATATACAAGACTTTTCCCCAACTTAAATATATATCCTGTTGGTCTGGCAGACACAGCAATCTCAGGAGCTTACAGATCAGCTACAAAAGGTATTTTTGTTCTCCTCTTTTTACCTTCTATTTGTATCTGTGTAATTCTTTATTTTCTTTGTTATTGTAATGTTTTGCTCTTTGTTATTAATCAACTTAATTTTTTTCTTTCTTCAGGAGCGAAAAGAATTTGAACAGAGATTTTCAAAAGAGCAAGGCGCCATGCGGGAGCAATTACAGGTACATTCGCTTACCCAAATGCATAAATTTAATTTGTCCTATGGAGCAACTTTATTTGTCACTTAATAGTGTCGTTGTATTACAGTGTGATGTGGCAGTGCATAATGCCAGAGTGCACTGAGTTGCACTTGTATAAAATGTTATCCAACAACATACACTGCCCTTTTTAACACTTCCTATATTGTTAATTAACTCTAACAAGAGTAAATAATCTACTGTGTGTAATTACTCTGAGAAATTAGAATTTTCTGTATGTTTCATTAATCAGGTCTTGTTAGTGAAGTCAGCTGACTTTATCTAGTCTTATATGAAGAATGGTGCTCTTTGTTCGTATGTCCTCTTCCAAGGTTCATATCCAGACCATTGGCATACTAGTAGCTGAGAAATCGGAGCTACAAACAGCACTACAATACACACAACAGGCTGCACGGCAGAAAACAGGTGTGTGTGTTTGGGGGGAGGGGGTTTTATTTTTTTTAAATAATAACCTTGGCAATGGTTTATCGCTGCAGCAGTTAACGGTGTGTATGTGTGTGCCTCTTTCTCCTTGTATGTGTGTGTGCATGCATGTTAAGCTGAGGCAGAGGAGCTGAATAACCGTCTGCAATCAACAAAGCAGAGAGTGTCAGAACTTGAAAGAACTCTCTCTTCTGTCTCATTGCAGCAGAAACAGTTTGAAAAGGTAACAGCCAATCCAGCAATCACTTGCATATGAGTAATGCAAATAAATGAACTCGTAAGAAGGCAGTGTTACCTAATTTAGCTGATCGCACGTATTGTCTGTGTGGTTGTTTTTAATAGGTTTCTATGATGTTTTTGTCTTGCTGAGTCTTTATTTTTTTTATTTTTTGTCCTCAGCACAACAAAGAGCTTGAAAAGGAAAGAGACAATCTGAGATTGGAGGTGTTTAGACTAAAGTAAGTCATTTTATCCTGACTTGCCTGAGGAGATTTTTTTTATATGGTCTTTGTATTTTGAATGCTTTGATTCTTTGTAATGGAAGAGTTGGCTTGAACAGGTTTCCCAAGTCTTGTCTGGATATGGCGAGTTTAAAATAAACACTGAATTTGTTTGTTCACAGCAATTTGAGTGAGGAGTCGAAGCAGCAGAGCTCGGAGCTGTCAGAGCAGATAAAACTGAGTACACAAGAAAATGCCGCAATGAAGTTGGAGGTAGAAGATCTTCGCAAGAGGCTCGAGATAACTGACCTCATGTTACAGCAGGTCTGTTGAATTCCAGGAAAACACCGTTCATTCACGTATGAATTCATCTTTCTCCTACCACATGCTGGAAGTAGTGGAACAACTCCAGAGTCAATGTCTAGGAGGCCAGTGTTTGAATATTGTATGGCCGACAGTAATTCTAGTTTTCCTACTGATTTCTTCCAGTGCTCAAGTCAGTCAGATCCTACCAGTGCCAGCCAGCAGGTTCAGTTACTGCTGGAAGAGAAGCAGCAGGTGGAGGCGCACAATCACCAGGTTTACATGGACCTTTGTCTTATCATTGGCTTCTGTGTTTGACTGCTGTCTGTGTTAATATTCAATATATTTTGTACCTATTCCATTACTGATTAAGCAATATAGAAAAGTTAAAAAAAGAAGACTTAATTATTATTATTTTATTTACATTTGTGATGATGTAGCTTATGGAGTCCATTGCCCAGCTGAAGACAGAGAGGGATTGTTATGCAGTGCAGATCCAGGAAGAAGGTCGTGTGTGGAAGGACAAAACTGAACAACTGCTAACACAGGTACAGTAACATCAGCATGGCTTATGGTTTCACTATAGCTTTGAATAAAGAGCGAAAATGGTAGTGCTGCTTCTTTTGTGTGGGTTTTTTGTTTGTTTGTTTTTTTGTATTTAAGCCTAATTAGTGGGTGGGTGTGTGTGTGTGTCAAGGTTTCTCTGGTGGCAGAAGAGAGGGATAGAAACATCAACCGGGTGCAAGAACTGGAGGCCAGCATTGCAGAGTTAAGAAATGCTGCAGGTGAGTAGTGCACACAACCCTCATCTAGTGCCTCTTCCTTTTCCTCATTAGTTTTCATGTCTTCTTAATGTGGCAAAGATCAAGAAACACAAAAGTCAGAAGGAGAGCAGATGGGGCTGCAGTAAGTGATCTGCAGTTTCGGGATTAACATTAGCCCCATTGTGCGTTTATTGTCAGGTCTTCCTGCTTATAACCTTGTAAAATATTATTTTAATGTTTAGTTTAGCATATATGTTAAAAGCATATCAAATATAGCATTCAAAATACTGGCCATATGTGACACAGCTGCAGTATTTGTGTTTAGTAGAATTAGAAATCTTGATAATTGGTGTTTTTTCTCTTCTAGCGTTATTATCCCAGGAGAGAGAAGCTCAGCATGGCACAGAGCATCAGTCCTCAGGACCATCAGAAAATGAAGTGGCTTTGCAGGAGGCCCTTAATGCCCTACAACAAGAGAAAGATGCCATTACGTCACAGTATCAGGCACAGGTGTGCTTCACATTGTTTTCTCCAAACCCATTTTAATGGGTTAATGTGACTCATATATAGTTTCATATACACTTAAAAGGAGCACATATTGATTTTTCCCTTTCTGGATGTTTCAAAGAGAGTTGGTGCTTTCATTGCACCTCTTACATTTGAAGTGTGTTAATCATCCTCTGTAATACTTCCACAGCTGAGGGACAACGAGCAGCTGAGCCGTATGTGTGCAGAGCAGGAGTCGCGTCTGGGGGAGCTGGAGCGTCAGGTGGAGAGCCAAACCCAGGAGGCTGAGGACCGCCGACGCATGCTAGAGGATGTTCAGTCAGACAAGGCCACTATTAGCCGTGCTCTCACCCAGAACCGAACACTGAAGGACCAGCTGGCTGAGCTACAGAACGGTTTTGTCAAACTGGTGAGGCTGAAAATCTTACTATCTGTTTATTTTTAGAGGACACCCTTAGTTACCACTATAACTGCCTTATTTTTGCACCACAGTGCTCAGAATTCTACTTTTTCTGCTGGTTTTTAATTTCATAATTTCCTTTTTTCTCTTTGAATTTATGCTCTCATAATCTGTTTTGGGTTTTTTTTTTTGTTTGTTTGTTTGTTTGTTTGAAACCAGTGTTGGTCAAGTTACTTGAAAAAAGTAATCAGTAACTAATTACTGATTACTTTCCCAAAAAAGTAATCCCGTTACTTTACTGATTACTTATTTTCAAAAGTAATTAATTACATAGTTACTTAGTTCCGTTTTAAAAACACGATTTACAACCTGAAGAGGTGATAAAGCGATAGATCTTTCAGCCCAATTCTACTTTTTCTACATAATCCATCATACAAAATGTAATCAAATGGAAAAGTCTCTTTTTTTAACTTGTTTTATCAGTTTTAATCTTTTAACTTTATGCATCAAGCAAAAATTTAATTATATGCAAGATTCTCTGACTTGAATAAATTAGTTTAACATTTAAAGCTATTTTCTGCACATTCCAGCACATAAAATAAAATATTTTTTGTGTTTACACTCAGTCTTTCAAATAGATGCAAGTAAAACACAGCAGAAAATAAATAAAGTCAAAGACTCAGCGGTCCTGTTGCTCTATTTTCACCTGTAAAGCAGGACTGGGGGTAGGCGGCGGTTTATCCTGGTGCAGGTGTGCAGCGGTCAGTTGAAGAATCCGCGAGTTTCTCTGTGAGTTTCCCATTACGTCGTTGCGCTCTCGGTGCTTGCTTGGAAGTTTAGGGGTTTTTTTCGCTGTAAAAAGAAGTTTTCTTCCCAGACACGATGGACACTAATGTTTTTGTCACTTTTTATGGAATCAAACTCAAAGTAAGGTCAGTACTTCCACGCTTTAAACACTGCACGCTCATACTCTCTCCCGCACTCGATATGTGATCCATTGTTGATCTGCACACAGCTGTTGTCATCAACGGCGCACTTGCTTACGTCACTGTCGTGAGACATTCTCGCAAAAAAATCACGGTTTTAGTAACGCAGTAACGCAGCGTTCCTACGGGAAAGTAACGGTAATCTAATTACCGTCTTTGCAATAGTAATCCCTTACTTTACTCATTACTTGAAAAAGTAATCAGATTACAGTAACGCATTACTGCCCATCTCTGTTTGAAACAGAGCTGTGTTTTGTTAGTAAGTATCTGATTGACCTCAGTGGTGCTTGACACGTCTGTCTTTAAACCGAAATTCCTGTTACTCCTTCATTCTAACAGACGAATGAGAACATGGAGTTGACTACAGCCATCCAATCAGAACAACATGTGAAAAAGGAGCTTGCACGCAGAATGGGTGAATTGCAAGAGGAGTTGCACAACGTCAAGGAGCAGGTGAGGTCACACACAGCACTCCCCTAAAGCAAACACAGATGAAAAGTCAGCTGAATATGCACTCACTTGCTGTTTGTCTTCATGCTTTGTCCTCTTCTATTTTCTTGCCTCCAGCTTGAGCTGAAATGTACAGAAGCTCAGGGTCTGATGGAGCAGAGGGATCAGGTAGCGGCACATCTCCAGCAGTACTGTGCTGGCTACCAGGCCCTGGTCTCAGAGAGGGAACAAATTCACCAACAGTATCTGCAGCAGAGTCAGCTAATGGACCGACTACAGCACGATGAAAGCAATGGCCGTGCACAGCTGGAGATGAGTCACAGTCAGCTTAAACAAGCCCATGTATGTATATAAGACCTTTTTAATATATACATCTGTGACCAGTCTGTGTAGATGGTGTTGTGATTCTAGAATTCAGTACAATAATACATTGCAATATAGAACATAAAGTATGTTCATATTCATCCTGTCAGCTGAACTGCTGTGGTAAATCTGTCAGGCCTGATAGTTCTGAGGGGGATTAGTGCAGCTTTGAGCTGTACTAATGATTATTGGGACACTTTGCAGCAGTTCGCTTGGCCATCGTGTTTAATGCTTCAGGGTGTTGCTCCTTCTCGGGTTTCCTAACTTAATGGATTCAGCACTTAAGTTAGGCCCATTCTGTTGCCTCTGTACATGCCATTAGAGAGAAGGTGGAGTGGAAAGGCAGAGCTGGTATTAGTGTTTTTATACTGCAGAAAATACATTTTGAAATGATTTCAGATTAAGGTATTTTTATGCATAGAAAAATTTATAATTTTGACATGACTGTTTTAATATGATCTAATCTATACTGGCCATCTTCAAGGAAAACTGCAGTCTGTTTTTATTATTTATTTATGTTTTTCCTTAACACTCTCAAAAACGCACTCTAATTGTTTTTCGTTACCGTTTCTTCCTGCAGGAGCATCTGGAACAGTTAGTCAGAGACAATGAGCAGCTGAAAGCTGAGGTGAAAGAGCTGCTCAACAGCTCTGCTCTTATGACATCACCCAGAGACCAAGGTAATCTCTCTGTTACTGACAAGTTTGCACTTTCTGCCTTGTTTTCCTTTGGTGAGAGATTTCCTGCAATTTAAAAATAATTATCTCTAAAGTTATAATAGTATAGTGGCTTTATCCTGTCTCTTTTTAAATAACAGTGTCACAATTTCTTAATTTGAAGCAGATAATATGTTGTTACAGCAGAAACTGCAGATTAAGGCTAATCTGTTCAAAATGAAGAAGTGCAGTTTTTTTTTTTTGTGTACTAGCAACAAAACCGGAAAGCATTAAGTGCTGCTGCACCATGTGTTTCATTAGTGTGATAGGTTTTTAAGGAATTAAAAAATAGTTGTACATGTCATATCATTTTAGGAGATGGAGTGGAAAGCCAGTCCCTGCAAGAAAGTCCAACAGAGTCTTCCCCCATAGTTATTCCAGAGGATTTTGAGAGCCAGAAAGAGATGGTAAAGAGATGTTTCCAGCTCATGCAAATGTTCTGTTTTTCTTTCGTTTACAGTCTTTTTATTTTTTTTAACATCACATCTTAGTCTAAAGTTCATATTTTTATGTCCAGTGCCATTCTATGGTGAATTATATGGTTTAATTTTATGGCATGAAACAAAAGTATGACCTTACCCTCATTTCTATTTCGTGTTGCCTTGCAGGAGGATTTTATTCGTGGAGCTCTGGCTCAACTGGAGGCAGAGAGGGACGAGGCCAGAAGGCAACTGGAGGAGGAGCGCAGGCTTCACATAGCAGCCCGGCACCAGGCCAGCGTCACCCTAAGTCTGGAGCAGCAGCGCCACAGCCAAACACCTGTTAATGACCACGAGCACGGTCACAGTCACGGTCAACACAGTCACTGTGAACACAGTCACTGTGAACACAGCCATGAGCATTCAGGTCAGAAGCATTTGTGTTTGTGCAATTTTGCAGATCTTTCTACAACTAAAAGACTTAAATTCTCTGGAGAGTAACAAGTGTGTGTGCCAGTTTACTCTTTTACTCTTGTTTATTTTCATGCCATGTAAACAGTTTTTCCCCCCTTTCCGTTATTGCTTGAACAGAAGGAGGAGTGCCGGTGGAAGTTCATCAGGCCCTGCAAGCTGCAATGGAGAAGCTGCAGCAGCGTTTCACATCCCTAATGCAAGAGAAAGCAGACCTGAAGGAGAGGGTGGAGGAACTGGAGCACCGCTGCATCCAGCTGTCTGGAGAGACTGACACTATAGGTGAGTGTTTTATAGGTTGTTGTTCTTAGTCCTGTTTCATATGTAATCATTTGTTCCTCATATTCATTTCTGTTATGTATATTTTTGCAGGCGAGTATATTGCTCTGTACCAGAGTCAGCGGGCTATTATGAAACAGAAGCATCAAGAGAAAGAGCAATACATCAGCATGCTGGCCCAAGACAAAGAGGAGATGAAGGTACTGATGTCTTTTAATGCAGAAGGAATGTCACAGTAATATCTTTTATGCAATATTAATGAAAACAAAAGACATGACAAAATATGCAGGTGCCTAAGTTTTTGAAGATTGTTTGCACAGACAAAAGTCTTTCTTCCTATGAACACTTTTCTTTCTCACATCTTAAAGTTTTACCTGGTCATCGCTAAAAAAGTGTGCCATACTTAACATGATTGTTGTCCTTTGTGTCCACTATTTATCCCTTCTGCCCAATAGGCAAAGCTGGCTGAGCTGCAGGATCTTGTGATGAGGCTGGTAGCTGAGAGGAATGATTGGTACAACCGCTACACTGGAGCTGTAGCCGGCATGGGCACAGTAAACCCTGACCTGCTTCCTGTTGGACAGGAACACACTCACCCAGACCACCAAGCACACACGCACACAGAGCTTGATGCGGCCACTGGAGCAGGTAAGCAAAACCAGTTATGCTAATCATGATTGTTTTACAGCAGGTGGATTTTAAAGACCAAATATAAACATACCCACACTTCCACACAACCCCACAGGTAGGTGAGTTTGATCCTGTCTATTGTGTTGGGATATTTGTGTGTACAGTGAAGCTTATTTTAAACTCATAGTCCTGGAAGACTTTATCCACTGATGTGTGAGTCTGAAAGGCAGAAAGAGTGGTCCTTTAGCGCTTCAACTGTTCTGCCTCTTTTTTCAAAATATATTTTAATTCATATTTCCAATAACATCACTGTTCTGTACCTTTTTTTTCTCTGCTGCATAAGCTATGGAGGACATCCCTCTGTCAGAACCTGCCGCCGGTCTTGAAGCTTCCTCATCCCAGATGCTGTTGACTGGATCTGGCCAGACTGACTCCAAGCCCCTGGTGCCTAAAGAGGACGCCACAGCCCAGCAAATCATGCAGCTGCTTCAGGAGATCCAGAACCCTCAAGGAGCTCAAAGATCACCCCCTTTTCTGGGAGAAAACCCCTGCATCCCCTTCTTTTACCGGCCTGACGAACAGGACGAAGTAAAGATCCTGGTGGTGTGAGATGTGTGTGTGTGTGTGTGTGTGTGTGTGTGTGTGTGTGTGTGTGTGTGTGTGTGTGTGTGTGTAAACATGAGAAATGTTGGACTTGTGTTGAAGTGTGGGAAATATTAAATCCTACAGTTTACCACGTCTGTAGCTTACTGATGATCTTCTCAAACACTTCATAATATTGGAAACCTTACGTGACTGGTCGAAGATGCACGAATGTCGTTGACCCAGTTACATTAAAACACCCGCCCCCGTTCCGCGTGTCAGCACTACTGTGTGTGAGGCTTAATTGAGAGGATTTTGTATTTGCTGTTTGTTTTTATGTTCTTGTTTGTCCCTGATGCTTTTCCCAGCGAGGAAGTGGTCAGTATTCCTAAATGCAATCGGATTTTTTTTTCTCCACCTCAGTTTTGAATTCCCATCTCACACATATGTGCAATAAATGGGGCCGTATATCCTGTCCCCTCGCTGATAGAATACTGAAAGAGCTGTCAAGTATTAACAGCCTGTTTGTGTGCAACTTTATTCAAGTGCAAATGTCAGTTTAAATCCACTGTACACATGCCAAAAAACAAAACAAAAAGAGAGAGAGAGAGCATCACATGTGAATGTAATAACCTCAATATTAACCTGTATGTGTGTTTAATGTGAAGTGAGGAGAGGGGATGCAGAAAGAGCATATCAGGTTGGGTAACTAATGAGTGTGGAGTGAGATGTAAGGTGAAGTTAAGTGAGTGAAAGGGGTTTAGTGCACATAAAAGCTTTTAAACTGTAGGCGGTGTTCAGTTTTGAAGTCAAGAGCTCGCTACGTTACATAATTCAGGAAGATGGATGTTGCTGATTGGTACTGTTCTTTTTCCTCCAGACACTGAAAAGAAGTCATGTTTGTACATTGTAAAATGTTCGTATTTGTGATTTTTTTTTTTCTTCTTATGTTTTGTCCTGTTAGACTGAAAAGGCATCACCTTTATAGGGTATAGGGCATAGATGGAGCTTAGAGACCCATGAAGTTAAGCAGTTACTCAGTTATAAAGGCAGTGAAGTCATCTTCTCCTAACAGTCGTGTGGATAAAGTAAATGTAAACATAAATATTAGTGGTTGGGGTGCTGTGCTGCTGCTGACTGCTTTTCACATTATTTCATCTTTGCAGTTATTGCAATTTTTGGGGAAGTTGCTTATAGTTTAATGTCTATACCTGCAGCTACACATCATCTTTTTTCCTCAAATCAGGTAATCTGGGGTATTTGGCTGACCTCATCACAGACTCGGTCACTCGTCTCATTTCATCTTATCCCTAACCACGCCTTTGCTGTCTCGGGGTCTTTAAGTTTCCAAACAAATCGACACTAAAAACACGAGCCTGTTCTTCTCTGTTACATTTACGTGTAGTTCTACATATCAATGACGAATTGATGCACATCTTTAACAACTGGACTGTGTGAGCATGCGTATGTGGAGGCTGTACGTGTGAAATCCAAACTGTTTTCCTCCTCAGCCAAAATTGCGTCTGTTGTGCTTTGTTTGGTTTGTTTTGGGTTTTTTTTAGGGTTTTTTTGTGGGGGTTGTTTTCTTTTTGTTTGGGTTTTTCTTTTTCTTTTTCTTTTTTTTTTTGTAGAGTTCTATCAGATTATATAAGTATGATTGCACTAAAACTGTACATAGCTTCTCGTTTATCCCACCTCTGCTCCGGCTGCTGGTCGGACAGATGTGTTTCTAACGTGGCTTTTTTGAAGAGAGAGGATCCTATGAAGCTTCATGCCGCACGCTGAGGATTCTGCTAAATTGAGTGTTGATGGAGGTGTGATGAGACACAGTCTAGCCAGATTAAATGAATGAGATAGTAAATTATTTCTACAGGTAAGGGACCATCTAGATTTTGAGAAAAGAAATTCCTCTTTTTAAAAATTAGGAATAAAGTAGGACTGATTTGTTATAGCTGGTAGTTGTATTGGCTACAAAACACTTGAATAAATCTCCTTTGGGCATTAAAAGTCAAGACATTGGGGAAAACTCCCAACATCAGGGCTGAAATTCAAGTTTCTCTGTCTAGCTTTAAGAGAGATTGGAGACTATATTGATTGAATTGTGAAATTGCATCCCTTTATAATTAATCATTCAAATTACCACAGCTGATTTTTTTTTTCCCTTTCTTTCACTTAGACCAAATTTAGGCAACTTCTGTTTTTTGTGTGTCCTTTTTTACTTTTAATGCGCAAGATAAGGGGTCACTGCAAGGTCATATCCAAAAAATGAATTCATTGAGACTACTTTTGCAAAAGTTTTTACACATACATGTTTGTCTCTGAATTTTGAGATCTTCTTTCTTGTGCTTTAAAGGGCATGTTCATTAAATTATTAGTCACGCACTTGATTTATTGGGCAAATTTATTGGGTAGAAAGCAGTTTGGTATTTTAGGTATATTATACAACGTCAGATGGAACTGTGTCGTAGTTGTATGTACTCAGTGTTGGTTTCTTTACAGAGAAAGTAAACAGCACCTTCCCTAAACCTCTGCACTTTGCCATCAAAAGGTGCTTTTGAATAAAATGACTCCCTCATTCTTCCCTGCTTCTTAGCAATCAGTCCCTTTTTTTTTTCTTTTTTTTTTTGCTTTTTGCTTTTAGCAAAGGGTAAGACCAAGAGATAAATCAACATCAGGTGTTTGGGGACTTTCTGGGGCTTGTAAAATAATAACAGCTGTGTGGATTTCTGAGGTTTTCTAATTCCCTTTCAAATGCGTGATTGAAACATGGCAATGAGGAAGTATTTCTTGTCTCTACTGTTTAAGAGGTGGTGTATATACTGTACCTGTGTAACATATTGTATATTCATTATGCCTGGTGTATGGGGGGGGAAGCTGCTCTGCAGTATTTACTGGCAGCTTGTATTGTATGCGTGCTAGTCCAGAGTCGGGGGTTTGGGGGTCACTGACTGGCTGTGATTCAGTACAAAGATTGACAAAGAGAAAATATTTTATTTATTTGAAAAATAAGTTAGCATCTCAACTAATCAGTTTTAATGTAAATTCGAAGTGGCCGTAGGATGAAAATGAAGGATCGTTGAGAGAACTGATTTGTATGAGTGCTGCTTCTGACAGAATCCTTCTGATTTTTTTCCCCTTGAGTAATATTTCTCCCCTTCTCCTGAATAAAGCTGATTGAAAAACGGTTTGTCTTGATTTCTTTCTTTTTTTAATTATTATTAAAGAAAACTCAACTTACAGAAACTACAACCTGCTGCCATCATAATAGGATAAGTATCATCATCACTAATAACAGCTACTGTTTCTCTGTGCTTTTATGATTCTGTTGAGCCTTCATCCACAATGCCAGGACCCTATCGGTGAAACCACTAAATTGGCTTCTTATGGAAGGTTGTTTCTGCCACTGGAAAAAATGTCATATTTAGAAATTTCGACAGCATGAAAATCGATGTCAGACAAAGTTAATTGAATGTACTCGAGGCCGACACGTACATCTAGAAGCATATATGATATCTCTAACCTATAATAAATGCTTTTAGTAATGAAGTAATGATTAATACGTGAATGTCTGCAGCCTGACTCGGTCTTAATGGATGTCTGAGCCTGGCTGGTGGAGGGTTCAGCTTCTATGGAAAGACTGCTGTTTAGATGAACAGAGCTGCAGTAGGGTGGGAACTAAACACATGACTTTACACTTCATAAAAATATTCTCATTTGGATTCTTTCGATCTCTAAAAGGTTAGAAACGAAGAAGGAACTGATCTTATGTGAGGTCCTACATGGATTGTGTCTGGATGGAGGCTGCAGGCTGCACTATAGTGACGCCTGGTGGTGGTGCTTGAATTGGACATATAGACATACAATTAATAACATGCACTGAAAACAGCAGTCGCGACGGGATGGGGAATATCCCCTGAGCAACTCTTGCTCATGTCTCCTTCCTCTGCTTCTTTTACTACAGTAGATGCTTGACTTCTGAGCATTCATTTATGAAATGTTGATCTGGTTTAACCAAAATAATAAACAACAACGAATGCACATCTTACTGGTGTTTTTCAGCTAAAATATCATTTCACATGAAACTCACACTGATGTCATCAAGCTCATCCTGCGCTTTACAAAGAATCTGTCCCTCACTCACTTTTATCTCCTCTCTTTCCCCTGATCTCCTGATGGGACAACGATCAGAGCAGATGGTTGTCCCTCCCTGCTGGAGGTTTCTTCCTGTCAAAAGGGAGTTCTTTCTTCCCGCTGTTGCCAAGTTCTCACTCATCAGGGACGATCTGATTCTCTCTACTACATAGGGCTATTATATAAAGCATCTGATAAGAACTGTGGCTGTGAACTGGCATTATACACATCCATCTGCTGGATCCTATCCTAGTTGACTTTATCGTTTCTTGAAATAAACACATTCTATAAAATAAATAAATAAATGCAAACTGATCAAAAGAATGTGATGATTTCAAACGGGTAAAAAGACCCAAATGCAGACTTCAGAATTGAAAGACATTTTATTAACCAGCCTTACAGTTTTGTACCAATTTAACTGCAAGGGTGGAGGAGTGGGTAGGCAGGTTACAAAGTTAAAAGTCCAAATCCCATTTGGTCCAAAAGAAGGAGTTCCAGACAGGTTACAGGCATCAAAATAGCACAACAAGAAATTTTCCTATTCAACTAAATAAACTTCTTAAACCTAAAACAAGGCTGTAAGGAGGCTGAATGGTGGTCTTTTTATTTGCTTCCACGGTTAGTGGTATCCCAGAGCCTCCTTTTCTTTTAGATGAATAAGGAAAATCCTTGAGAGTGAAGATGAGTATGAGAGACACACAAAGAAACTGAACCCTAATTTAAGGAGTAGGATGTCTTTAAGTACTGTGCTAGACGAGAAGGTGAAGACAAGCCCATGCAGCCCATGACCCATGATGGGAGGAACACCAGGCTGCAGACTGATGACAGAAGAGCATGACGGGTCCTTCACACATACCTCTATGTTTCTGTGTCACAGCAGGCTTTGATCAGGCCATTGCCCCTCAGTCTCCAGAGTTTGCGTCCTCCATATGCCTCTGGTTTGACCACATCTTCAGCATCCCTCTGTACGCAACCTTCACGCCCCCTTTAAATGGACTATATTTTATACAGCATCACTTGAAGCAGGAACCTTTCCACTTAACTGCAACCTATTTGTGAAAGCCCATATGTGACGATTGGTTTATGTGTGTGTGTTTTTATTTCATTTACAGTGTGTCTGAAATCTTTGTCATGCTGAAAAATGAAACCTTTGCTAATCAGATGCTTTTCAGACGGCAATGCATGCTGGAGCAAAATCTGACAACACTTTTCCTTGTTAATTGTATACGTTTAGACTAGATTCACAACGCAGCTGGCTGAAATGCAGCCCCAAATCATGACAGAGCTTCCACCATGTTTTACAGATGACCATAGACACCCACTGTTGTACCCTTTTCCATATGTATTGATGATTTGAACCAAAACCGTCATATTTAGATTCATGACTCCATTAGACCTGTTAACCCTGATTTTCAGTCCATTTCTTGTGTAACTTGGAATCCCTCAGCTTTTTCTCCTGGCCTCCATCCTTAAGGATGGCTTCTAGACAGCCACCTTTCCACTGAGACCATTTCTGATGAGGCTTCAGTGAACAGAAATTGGTTTAACTGAAGGGCCATAGGCATCTCTCAGGTCTTTGCTAGATTTGTTTTCTGGTTTCTTAATGACATGAGTTTCAAATACTGTTCATCTTCTGTAGGTAGTTTGTAAACTTGCGACACTTTTTGTTTCATTTGTCCTGTTTCCTCAGATGAAATATGCCAAGTTTACAGCTAACACATGTAAAGATATTATTTTATTGAACTGTTATCATTGGAATTTTTTGTAGATTAACCTAAAGAAATTGAAACGAATTATGTGTTTTTGTGCCAAGTATCAAAAGATAGAAAAGAGGGGGAAATAAGAAATTATGAAAGACCTTTGGAACAGTCTGTAGAAGTGATGTATATGTAAATGATGGGGTTGAGTAAGGGGTTGGAATAATCCAGCCAGGATTTTGAATATGCCTATAAGGATATTTTACTTTGTGTCCACATTCGTCTGGTGGTTTCATTATTAGCTGCTATCGAGTTCCCGTATAGTTGTGTTACCACCAGTATGTACCAGCATTTAAAAAAAAAAAAGGACACAAAGACATACTTCCCTGATTACACACTGAAGTTTTTAATGTCTTGACAGAGCACAGCAGTCCTGCACATCAGTCTAAACAAGACGCAGGACCTGATCGCTGCAGGACTTTCACACATTCAGCCCGCCCCTCGCTGCTATTCTACACACAGAAGGACAAGAAAAGCAAAAGCCCTCTGCTGCAAGCCAAAGTATTCAACAGCCTGCAGTTGCCCATATACATCATTGTATTATATATTTTTTGTAGTTTTTAAAACATTACTTCCTTATACATATACTCATTTTGTCATAATTTAAATATTCAGCGGTTTCATACACTAAATTCCCTAGATAGTGAAAGTTCAATAAGATGCATCACACATATACAGAATAACACA